TTATAATATATATATATATATATATATATATATATATATATATATCACAAAAATAACTTTATTAAATTTTTAGCATCTTGGCAATAGATTTATAAGGGGTAAGTGAAGTCAACTAATGATGACAAAGATGGTGGTTATGATAAAAAACATTTGATGTAAATGAGGTGTATGTTTTAGAACACCATTATTTCATCCTCTGCAAAGTCTGAAAACAAAGTTTATTAAAGTATATTACTACAAGTGAAGCAAAATCAGATGTTATTTGAGAACATGTAGTGTAAAAACATTAAGAAGAATTGAGCAGTAGAATAGGCATATATAAACCATGAATTGTGTTAGAACATACAATCTAAACATTAATGTTATTTTAAAACAAACAGTAAGACAAATACACTTACACATAAAATAACACAAAACGAAAATACAAACTAATACATTAATCACACTTTAGAATACATGAAATAATGATAATTAAAACACTTTCAGTAGGAAGGGTGTCTGTATACTGTTTAGATCAGGATAGTCTGTTGTGATTTTCAAGGTTTGTAGATCAATTTATAATGATGCAAGTGAAGGTACTATAAAGTCACATAAGTTTACAATATTAACATTTTTCATTGTTTACAGACTTTGCTAATGATAGAGTAAATGTATTCCTAAACATTCACCTCACATAAATAAAACGTTTTTCATCCTAATCAACATTCTTGTCTTCATTAGATGATTTTTTTAACAAATTATCATAAGAATATAAAATTAATCATTCTTAAGTTTCTAAATCTCTCTTGATGATGATAAATTTCGAAGTTCTAATAGTACGTCTTGAAAATATTATTTTTACATCTGTGAGGCCAGAATTATTTGAAGTACTGTAAGATGATTTACCTATTTCTTACCTATTTTACCTTGACATTCAGATTACATCTTAAGGTTGGCAGTCTTTGTAATATTTATTATTTATCTTTGTCCATATAAACAGTTATTTGGGAAAGAGTACATAAGCAAATAAAAAAAACAACACAAAAACAGCTTATTGAAAATGACTTCTGATAATGATTGTCAGATATAACAGACTGTTTAGTGTAGGTTGTATTATTAATTTATTTATTTTGTGTTTGTAATCCATTGATGATGAGGCTATCGAATGTTGTGTTTGCAATCCATTGATGTTGAGGCTATACAGATTTTTAGAAGACCTAAATAATAGACATATAAATACCTGCAACCAGATGAGCAGAAAAGAAGTTAAGTTAAAGTCACATGAATAAGAAATTCAGTCAGAGAAAGGGTAAAGTTAACCATCTTGGGAGTGTATGGCCTAACAGTTGATATGTTAGAGTGAGATTAACAATTTATAGAGATAAGGAGAATAATTTGTCTCCTCAGAGGGTGTTCTAAGCTAATTTTGTGGACTTTGACAAAACACAAACGATTATTGGAAGTTCAGGATACAACTGAGGTAACTCACGTGACAGCATAAATGAATTATACACAGATACTATTGCAATAAAAATAGAGAAAAATGGTGGACTTTTGACAAGAAGAGAACTGTATGGTGTTTAAGATACAACTATGATCTCAATAGTGTAAAGAATTTTGTACATCCATTTAACTTGTTTTGAATACATATATTATTTTAAAAACAAGTGGAGTGCATGCTGTTCGTTTATTGCTGAATTTATCCCCAACAAATCACAGACACCTACTGTAGAAGAATCCTTAGCCCAACACACCCATATATATTTTACATTACTATATATACTATTAAAAAAATAAGTTTCTAACAATGATTGAAAAATTGTTCACTTTTTGGTGAAGAAAATCATGATGATAGGTCAGTAGTCAGTACAACATTGTAATTCCAGAAAAGAATAAATGGTATCAGATGTAATTACAAATCCTTAAATTATTAACATAATCCAAGTTATTTCAACAGCTTCTTCAAACTAATTTTTTAAAGTATTAGATTGGAAAACAATATGTGATGTTGCATATAAATATAGTGAAGTCATAAGTTATCCTAAAGTATGCTGATATAGAAACTTTAGATAATGTAAGAGCATTAATTTTTTATAATATGTGTATATTACTTCTGTTACTTTTTTTTTAAGGAACAGGACCTCTTGGAGAGACTAAAGAAACTTGTAGATTTAAGCTTACGATCTACTTTCCTGCCAACCCGTATTGCTACTTTACATGGAATACTGTATTTGTTAGAGTATGGTTCTGGTGATGATTCCTTCTTAATCCTTCCATCTGCAATGGACTATGTGATCAAGCATTTGGACAACAATAATCTGTATGTTTGTAATATTTGTGCTTAGTTTCAACAGTTTCTAGATCCAATTATATATGTAACTTTTGTTGTTCTTATTATTAAAATATCCATGTATGGTGAATTTTGCTTTCTATTCATGTTATTATTAGGATTTTGTTGTTGTTTATGTTAATTTATGTTTGGGATGTTATTGAATTGTAATGTATAATAGTTTCATTTTAAATGTTTTTAGATGTTATGGTTTTTATATACTTTTTAATTGAGGTATATAAGTTATTAAATTTGCCAGTAATAAATTCATTAGCAAATTTTAACTGTAACAAACCATGTCTACAGTAGTATAAATAGTGGATCCATCCCTGCACTTATATGATAGTAACAGGAATATAACTAATGCATATACCCCTGCACGTATACGATAGTAACAGGGATATAACTAATGGATACACCACTGCACTTATATAATAGTAACGGTGATATAACTAATGGATACACCCCTGCACTTATATGATAGTAACAGGGATATAACTAATGGATACACCCCTGCACTTATGTAATAGTAACGGTGATATAACTAATGGATACACCCCTGCACTTATATGATAGTAACAGGGATATAACTAATGGATACACCCCTGCACTTATATGATAGTAACGGTAATATAACATTACAAACCCATAAATACTTATTTTTATTGTACATCTAGTCATGTGACACATATCCAGTGAAAAGGTATTATATTTCATGTTGCACTTATATGATAATATCAGTGATATAACTAGTGGATCCACCCCTACACTCATACAATAATAACAGTGATATAACTAGTTTGCTTTTATCTTACCACTGTAAAGCATAGAAAGTATCATACGAAATACATATTATATGGAATTCTTCAGGCAGTCACTTTATTAAGCTTATCATTATAAAGCATGGAAAGGTATTATATGAATTACCTATCATAAAGTGGTTCACTGAAACAACCACCTTGTAGAAATATTTGGGATCCAAATATAATTTTGGTAATTCACGGTGGTGTACATATTTAATGTATTTTACACTTCAATTGACTTTGCAAGTTTTACACAACAGTAGTATCTCCTATACAGGATGTGTAGTTCTGAAGACAGTTGTTGTGTTGAACAACAAAGACTATGATAGACGTGCAGTGAGTGCAATGTTCTGTTTCCAATGTTTTCTGAAGTTACTTGAAATACTGTCACCCACTTTCATGCTGATGATTTTAACTTTCAGTAGATTCACAGCATAAGTATTCTTTCAGGAATTTGCTGTTTTTATTTTAGTAACTAATCCTATAAATAAGTTAATGGTATTACTATGGGAACAAATGTGGGCTCCAGTTTTACCAATCTTTTTCTTCATTATGTTGAAGAATGTATGTTTGGTCAGCACAAAGGCCAAGTACCTCTAATGTGTAAGCAGTATGTTGATATGTAGAATTTATTACACTAATGTTGAGTCAGACTTGAAACATTTCATAGATTGTTTAAACTGCTTCTCTTGAACATGTACACTACATTCATCTCTTGAAATATGCCTAGCTCTCTGTTAAGAGCAACATTACAAACCCATGAATACACTTGTTATTTTAATTGCACATCTAGCCATTTAACACATATCCAGGTGTCATCCTAAAATACTATTTCTTCAACTTAGTAACGATAATGAATTAAGTTGCAGAACCATAAATTTTTTGTTCATAATTGTGTCTATTCATAATCTGTTACAAAGATAGTTAGAGATCTTTCTGAAATAATTAACACAAGCTCAAAAATATTATTTGTCATTACCTAGCACCCATAAAATAATTAAAACAAATAATCATGTTTTAGAAGAAAATGGTACTAGAAATGAGGTTTTTTATGATGTTTTTTTGCATGGTTCCAACATTGGAAACTCACTAGTTAAGAAAAATACCTCTACATCTACCATAATAACAGTGGTATAACTAGTGGATTCACTCCTGCATTTATACGATAGTAACAGTGATATAACTAGTTGATGCACCCTTGCATTTATTTGATAATTGCAGTGATAAACTAGTGGACCCATCCCTGCACTATGTAAGGCTGCAATACATGGGCTCCAGAACACAATTCAAAGCACACCTTCTATATCAAGAGCCACTTTAGATAGATTATCATTTTGTAAATGATGTATTTCTCTTTTTTTTTTTCAGGAGTATGCTTCTGTTTTAAAATGCTTTCATAAATATAATTACACAGATTTCCTGCTTTTATATCATATATTGTTTTTCAGTCCTAAGGATTTATAATATTGTTGAATATGTATGGAAACCTGTATAAAGTAGTTTTCATTCCTGTCAATATTTGTTTCTAGTCCTAGTAGTAACAATGAAGAGCATGTGTTAGTCATGTGGGCTGTTGCATTCTACATTTTGGAGAATTTCATGGAGGAAAATTCAGAAAATATCTTCCACAAGAAGATTTTCCAGGTATTTATCAGAATTTTTTTACAGATTATGTGTAAACAATTTTTTGAATGTTTTTATACCACTTTTCAATAATGTTTATACACTATTTATCTTATACAATAGTTCTAATGACCCAGAAGTCTAAATGTTTTCATATATATAAATATTGTAGGGAAGATTATCTACAGATTTAAATTATATCATTAAAAAATTATTGTAATATATAAATGTTTTTTTAAGAAACAATTTGAAACTAGTAAAAAAATAATTGCTTAAGGTCAGCTTGGAGATCATCTTTCCAACAAGTGTGACCAGTTTGTTTCTTTGCAGCTTTGTATCAATGTTTGTGGAAGACCTGAACGTGATTCCCTGCCAGGAGTTTACTTTATGGTGCTCCACGGTCTAGACCGGGTTCTTGTTGCAGATTCACTTTCCTTTAAGGAAGTTGAAATGCTGGCTAAGGTGGTGGTTGGCAGGTAATTAATTTTTCCTTGTATTATTTAATAGGAACGTAGCTAGTGTACTTTCTTTTCTAAATTGTGCTTATATTTTTCTACATGTATAGTTTGTTTCTACATTGTGTAAATTGTGCTGATATTTGAATATATGTGTAATTTTAGTTTCTGCATAATAAATTGTGCTTGTCTTTCTTTATATGTATAGTTGTAGTGTAAATTGTGCTGATATTTGAATATATGTGTAATTTTAGTTTCTGCTTTGTAAATTGTGTTTATATTTACATATTTATATAAAATTTCATAAACATTGATCACCTCTCCACAGAACAAATATATAATAACTCGCACCACTACTGAAAAGTTCTTTTGCATAAACTCCCACCTTTACACATAATAATCTATATTGCACTAATCAATGATACAATCAGCATTAGACTTTACCCCTCCACCATTAAGAAGGTGACACATTCTTCATACACATTACTGTCTTTGAGCACTTTGTATATTGTTTCTGAAGCAAAGATTATGCTGTTTGGTTTATGTTCAACTCAGGATGCACCTTGTGTATCCACAAGCTTTCTTTAGTGTAGAGTATCTTTTCATTGGCCATACTTCCAAAGATGCTGAAGTCATTGGCGGTAATTCTAATGTCACAGTCTTTCAAGCAGTGACAAAGAATGGTAGACTGATTATATACACTGAGTGGTTACAAGTAAATAGATATCTAATTTTTCGTCATTTAACTGATTTATG